CAAATGATGAGAAACAATGAAGAAAGTAGCCATTTATGCTCATGTCACTATAGTTTCCAGTCTTCCTCTTTTGTAGTCCATAGTATGCACAGCAATCCCAGCTTACAAGATACAAAATGTAAAAGTAGTTTGCAGTTATTGAATTTATCACAATTTACRGTTGCTAAGAGCTGTGGCCAGATTACAATGGACTGTTATGACCAACTTAGTTTTAGCAACGCTATCTGTGTTGATAGAATATAATAAATATATCTCACTTGTTTGCAGAAACAGAAGCGAGCGATAATGAAGACAGTGAAAATGACACAACCTTGAAAGAAGAACTTGAACTTGATCAACAACCTCTTGGTAAATCCTGCTTCATGACTTATTTGTTTGCTGTCAATGTCCAGCCCGTATTATATTTCTCCTTTTCCTTCTCCCATTTTCTCTCAGACTAGTCAATCACTAAATCTCACACATGTCATGCATCTCACATACAGTGTGTATACTCTAGTCGTTGATGTTGTTTAGGACATGTTGCAGGCCACAACACTGTAGGGTGTAACATGCATCGTCAATGTTTCTTACTTTGAAATTTGGAAGACTTGCAGCATGTTAGCAAAAGAAATCTTTCTGGTATTTGCATGCAAATGTGATGTATCCATTTAGCTTTGTCACCTGATAGGATTTGGAAGCTACAATGTGTATGATAGAGCAAATGCAGGAAAACCATGAAATAAAACCAAACTAAATACTAAGAAATAGTGGCTTTTTAGAGGCAAATTGTTAGTATCAATGAAGCAAAAGCAACGAAGATGAATCAAAAACGGTTTCATGTGGATTCATCTTAGTTGYGATCTGGTTCTTTGATACTGACAAATTGYAATATCCCCTATTTGTTAGTATTAAGTTTGGTTTTATTTCATGGYTTTCCTTYGYATGCTTTATAACTTAAGCATGACATTCCTCATTTCAGACAAGTTGTCCTCAGGAGAATTTGATGATGAGGAAGCATGGGGTGAAATCAAAGCTCAAACAGAATCAACTGAAACGGAAAGTGATAATGATAGCGATGACAGTGATGTAACAATAGGCGATCCGTTCTCATTGACGGTATTACCAAGCATRCAGCAGCTACAACCAGTCGGACCATYAAATCCTTCTATTGTGTCTACACCACCAGCATCAGCTCTGATGTCAAAACTTTTCCCAAAACTGAAAGAGAAACCAAAGGTACATTACCATGACTGTTCAATTTAGAATGGTTTTATCTTTTTATGATTGTAAGCTACATGAAGCTGAAAACAGTACCTTTATAAATGTGTCATATTCTTTGATATTAAAAAATTATCAATACTTGAGCATTTTTTAGTATTGCAGTGGGCCTCAATCAAAGCCGCTCTGTTGCTATGCAGTCAATACTGAATTGCTATCCTCCRTTCAAGCCGTTYAAAGTACTTTGTGTATACAATTGAACGAATTCTACACGTAGATCATAATGGCACCACTGCATGAGTTTATAGAACCCSRATTTCCCTTTTACAACCCATTACTGTGTTGGGTGGGGTGGGGATTTATATTGACTGTTGCATTATACTTACTTTGTGTAAACCATTTGCTYACCTTCCGGGATATGCCAAAAACGCCGAGAAAAGTCTATTCAGCATTTAYTTTGTTGTAAGTAGCTCTGCTTCTTTTCTGTCAAGATTCAAGAAGAAAGCAATGCGCCACAGAGAGAAAAGCAACAAGCTAGCCCTCCAGAAGTTACTGTCGGACCAAGTAGYGAAGTACAAGATAAACTGAAAGAACTTGAAGAAGAAATCAGCAAGTTTCGTGCTGAGAACAAAGCCTTGGCAAAGATACGCAGCGAGAGAGATGAGGTAAGGAATTGTCAAAATTCGTAGAGTGGTTATCATAAATATTTTCATTATACTAGTGAAAATAACACATTCGAGATTTCTCTATATAATTGAAGTAAAAAAAAGGTATTTTGCGACATAATTTACTTCCATATGATAAACAGAATATTACATGGTCGCTTGGAGATACGAATTTTATAATAAAATCCGTATCTCCGCGCGCCAATGTAATATCCTCTATATATTTGCAAATCGTTTTGATGATTATGAAATGATGATTGTATTTCCTAGGGACTGAGAAGGCTTCAAAATGAAATTGATCTATTTGAAARGCAAAAGACAGACGAATTAGAGAGGATCGAGAAATTCAAAAAGGAAGAAATGCAGAAGTTGAAGTAAGCTCACGTTCTTTTTCAACTTTTCCATTAGTTCCTTGATGTGTGTGTTTTTTAGTTATTGATGTTGCTGCTGTTGTTGTTGCTCAGTGTTGGTCTAGATGTTACTGCTGTTGTTGTTGTTGTTCTGTATTGTANATCGACTCAAATGATGAGAAACAATGAAGAAAGTAGCCATTTATGCTCATGTCACTATAGTTTCCAGTCTTCCTCTTTTGTAGTCCATAGTATGCACAGCAATCCCAGCTTTTTTATACAAGATACAAAATGTAAAAGTAGTTTGCAGTTATTGAATTTATCACAATTTACAGTTGCTAAGAGCTGTGGCCAGATTACAATGGACTGTTATGACCAACTTAGTTTTAGCAACGCTATCTGTGTTGATAGAATATAATAAATATATCTCACTTGTTTGCAGAAACAGAAGCGAGCGATAATGAAGACAGTGAAAATGACACAACCTTGAAAGAAGAACTTGAACTTGATCAACAACCTCTTGGTAAATCCTGCTTCATGACTTATTTGTTTGCTGTCAATGTCCAGCCCGTATTATATTTCTCCTTTTCCTTCTCCCATTTTCTCTCAGACTAGTCAATCACTAAATCTCACACATGTCATGCATCTCACATACAGTGTGTATACTCTAGTCGTTGATGTTGTTTAGGACATGTTGCAGGCCACAACACTGTAGGGTGTAACATGCATCGTCAATGTTTCTTACTTTGAAATTTGGAAGACTTGCAGCATGTTAGCAAAAGAAATCTTTCTGGTATTTGCATGCAAATGTGATGTATCCATTTAGCTTTGTCACCTGATAGGATTTGGAAGCTACAATGTGTATGATAGAGCAAATGCAGGAAAACCATGAAATAAAACCAAACTAAATACTAAGAAATAGTGGCTTTTTAGAGGCAAATTGTTAGTATCAATGAAGCAAAAGCAACGAAGATGAATCAAAAACGGTTTCATGTGGATTCATCTTAGTTGYGATCTGGTTCTTTGATACTGACAAATTGYAATATCCCCTATTTGTTAGTATTAAGTTTGGTTTTATTTCATGGYTTTCCTTYGYATGCTTTATAACTTAAGCATGACATTCCTCATTTCAGACAAGTTGTCCTCAGGAGAATTTGATGATGAGGAAGCATGGGGTGAAATCAAAGCTCAAACAGAATCAACTGAAACGGAAAGTGATAATGATAGCGATGACAGTGATGTAACAATAGGCGATCCGTTCTCATTGACGGTATTACCAAGCATRCAGCAGCTACAACCAGTCGGACCATYAAATCCTTCTATTGTGTCTACACCACCAGCATCAGCTCTGATGTCAAAACTTTTCCCAAAACTGAAAGAGAAACCAAAGGTACATTACCATGACTGTTCAATTTAGAATGGTTTTATCTTTTTATGATTGTAAGCTACATGAAGCTGAAAACAGTACCTTTATAAATGTGTCATATTCTTTGATATTAAAAAATTATCAATACTTGAGCATTTTTTAGTATTGCAGTGGGCCTCAATCAAAGCCGCTCTGTTGCTATGCAGTCAATACTGAATTGCTATCCTCCRTTCAAGCCGTTYAAAGTACTTTGTGTATACAATTGAACGAATTCTACACGTAGATCATAATGGCACCACTGCATGAGTTTATAGAACCCSRATTTCCCTTTTACAACCCATTACTGTGTTGGGTGGGGTGGGGATTTATATTGACTGTTGCATTATACTTACTTTGTGTAAACCATTTGCTYACCTTCCGGGATATGCCAAAAACGCCGAGAAAAGTCTATTCAGCATTTAYTTTGTTGTAAGTAGCTCTGCTTCTTTTCTGTCAAGATTCAAGAAGAAAGCAATGCGCCACAGAGAGAAAAGCAACAAGCTAGCCCTCCAGAAGTTACTGTCGGACCAAGTAGYGAAGTACAAGATAAACTGAAAGAACTTGAAGAAGAAATCAGCAAGTTTCGTGCTGAGAACAAAGCCTTGGCAAAGATACGCAGCGAGAGAGATGAGGTAAGGAATTGTCAAAATTCGTAGAGTGGTTATCATAAATATTTTCATTATACTAGTGAAAATAACACATTCGAGATTTCTCTATATAATTGAAGTAAAAAAAAGGTATTTTGCGACATAATTTACTTCCATATGATAAACAGAATATTACATGGTCGCTTGGAGATACGAATTTTATAATAAAATCCGTATCTCCGCGCGCCAATGTAATATCCTCTATATATTTGCAAATCGTTTTGATGATTATGAAATGATGATTGTATTTCCTAGGGACTGAGAAGGCTTCAAAATGAAATTGATCTATTTGAAARGCAAAAGACAGACGAATTAGAGAGGATCGAGAAATTCAAAAAGGAAGAAATGCAGAAGTTGAAGTAAGCTCACGTTCTTTTTCAACTTTTCCATTAGTTCCTTGATGTGTGTGTTTTTTAGTTATTGAGATGTTGCTGCTGTTGTTGTTGCTCAGTGTTGGTCTAGATGTTACTGCTGTTGTTGTTGTTGTTCTGTATTGTATTTAATAATTACGATTCATTGTTTACAGACGAGAACGAAAGGTATTCGAAAAATATCAAAAGGCAGCGAAAAGTATCCCAGATAAGAAAGAACGGGAAGAAATTGAGGCTTTGAAATCTCAGGTATGCCGCTAAAGGTTGAAATAACAACTAAGCATTCCCCTTCCATTCAAGCATGCAGCTGTCCCAGCTACATCTAGTATGATCTGGCTCGAGGTTCTCCCTTACTTTAATACGGAGAAATGCGAGATAATTGTTGCTGTTTAAGTTTAGTGACAGTGTTTCTCTTTTTTCATGGCCTGCTTTTGTTGCGCGATAAGTTTCCAGTGCTCAGACAAGGTAAAAAGCGAGAAACATCGACTCTATCGACTTGTATTTCTCGTTTCTAGGTATCGGAGCTACAAGAAGAATTGAAACGTCGTGAATCGAGATGGTCAGCAGCCTCGTCTCGGTATCGGAATAGAATCGAAGCTCTAGAGGAACAGAATAAAGAACTACAGGAAGAAGTTAAATTACTTGAAAAATATCGACTGGACCAGTGGCGGGAAAACGAAACAAAGGTCCTTGAATTTTTCATTTACTTTGGATAATTGAGTGGGAAACTAATTAGTCGGTCGGTTGGTTGGTTAATGATAGCTAGTTGACGTAGTTTGTTGAATGGAGATACCAAAAGTTAGTTTTTTGTTTCGTCGGTTGTTCAGTTAAAGTATAATTTAGTTCGTTTGTTATTTGCTTGGTTGCGTATTAGTTGGTAGTTGAGTTGCTTCGTTTTATTGATTATTTTCATAATTTTTGTGAATCGTCTAGTGCTGTAATTAACCAGCATGCATTGTTTTGTTAGGCTAAAGATAATGAAGAGGCACGACCACGTGATGTGATATTACGTAAAACTGCCAAGCCTGTTGAACCAGGTCAGAATGTCTATGTTGAATGAACGTTTGTGTGCCCTCCTAATGATGATATCTCAATATTCATTCATTTGCATTCTCTCATTTGTCCATTTCAGCTCAACCCGAAGTACTAAGACAATCTATACAACAAGAGACCATCAATTCAGACCATCCTCACGCACTCATACAGACAAGGAGTCCTTTAAGAGAGTAAGTTTATAGACGCTTTACTTGAGCAGCATAAATAACACAAAGTAACTTGCTAGCAGCCTATATGATTTTTATAGAGATATAAAAGTATACCATTTTTATCTTATTTCTGTTCTTATTACTTTTTCTGTTGCTGTAGAGATAAAAGGCTAAAAGATGCCAACAACAATAACAGCAAAGAGAATTCTACAAATATTCCTAGAAAACTAGAGCCATCCAAGCAATCGATCCCCCCTACTCCGAAGATACGTACTTCAGACAAACAAGTAGCTCCCGTAAGCGAGCCAACCATCCGTTCCAACATAGAAAACGGAAGTCCGAACATACAAACGAAACTGTATGGTCTACAAGAGATTGAACACCCAGATGGAAAGGTAGTTTGTACTTTGTTGTTGGTCTAGTTCTGTTATTCTTAATGCACAAGTGCTCAAGTGTCAAAGGTGGTTTTWTATGTTTGTTGTAATTGCCGATAATAATATTTTAATGTTCAACTTTAGGTAGAGCAAGTTCAGCCCGATGGTACTCGTGTGATTTTGTTTGCAAATGGCACCAAGAAAGAAATCAGCAAAGATGGACAGACGGTCATCGTTTCGTTCTTTAATGGTGACATAAAACAGGTTTTCCCGGACCAGAGAGTTGTAAGTATTGAAGGGTCATTTGAACAAAAAAGTCACGTGAACAGAACTTTCACATGAGCACAATGGTCGCGGTTTAGACAAAACTAGAATATTTCCTGTGATGAATAAAACATCATTCCTTTATAGAACAGAGGAATAAAAACTTCAGTAGTCAATCATTGTGTCCCATTCTATATTTGTTTCTGTGTTTTTAGGTTTACCACTATTCTCAAGCGAAAACGACTCACACAACGTACCCTGATGGCCTGGAGGTATTGCAGTTCCCCAAGTAAGCCACACAGATTAATATATTCTAAGAGAGGTTCACAATGCGACATAATCATAACCCCAAAATAGTGCCTTCGTTCTTACTGACATTTTAGTATCTATGGAATCTATCTAGTGGTGGCAATTCTTTCTACTCTTTTGCCTATCAACATCTCGAATAAATTATACTTTTGATAATAAATCTTGTTTTCATCTTCATTTCCAGTAATCAAATGGAAAAACATTACGTTGATGGAACCAAAGAAATCATCTTTCCAGATCAAACGATYAAATACTTGTACGTTGACGGCACCGAGGAATGTGTTTACGCGGAYGGTACTATTCAACGAACACGTGGAAAAGATGGAGAAAAAATTATTGAATTCCCAAATGGACAACGTGAGRTCCATACGAAACACTTTAAGGTACGCTAGCAAAAATCAAATATCCCTCCGCTTTTTCCTTTCTTTCATTTTGAACCGTTTTTTTTTTTTTTTTTGAGCCTTTTATTTTCGCTTCCTACTTATGATTTATGCGCTGTACTAACTTTTTTCCGGCCTGATTCCTTTCTTACTTCCTTTCTTGTGTTATAATGCGCAATTTGATCGTTTCAGAGACGAGAATATCCCGATGGAACAGTCAAGACAGTCTATCCCGACGGTAGAACGGAAACTCGGTACAGTTCGGGTCGACTTCGGGTRAAGGACCGCGAAGGAAGGGTTGTCATGGATACAGACCATCTACAAGAATGAAACGAACGGACTATGAKAACTTCTTTGAAATTAAGACTTTACCGTTTATAATTTATAATAGTTTATTATTAACAACAAAATATCCAAAAATGATAGAGCTGCCGGAGAAAAACGAGAAACAAGAAATAACCCACACTCCACCGGGGAGGAGATCGGATATCCGGGATTGTAGCAATAAAATAGTAATATTAATAGCAGGAATACATTCTTAYTCTTTCCTTTCCGATACAAAAACCAACAGAATTATCCTTACAACACACAAGCAGGCTCAAAACATCTTTGTACAGAGTTTGATGTGCTTTGCCATCAGAGGATCAGGAAAAAAAACTTGTTACATTCTATATACGGTGTTCCTGTGGGGATATTGGGTGTGGTTGTAAATGACAGCTGTCGGTCATGACGAATTGTAGAATATTGATTGTAAAAATGACTAATGTAATATATTTTATCATCAATAAATATTTGTAGTAGTTGATTTGTAGTTGTGATTTTMCTKTTGTGGTCTGAGATCCATTGCGTTGACTTTTTATGCGTTGAAAAACGCAAAACTGGTCGTTCTCCGGCAGAGCGCTTTTTATGCGAACTTTAGATAAACTCCAAGGCGCTACATCACGTATACTGCTTAAAACTTCATAGCAGCYATTTTATAAGTAAAGCAATTAATGACGAACCAAAAGTCAGTGCTGCATGTCAATCTTGGTGTTATAAGTGTGCCCTCTTTGCTTCATCTCTGAATCGTGCAATTTAAAGTGCCATATTTTAAGTCATTATACATCCAACCACAATGTCCAACAATTACGTATGTACTTTCTTTATGGATAATATCAGCCTTTTTTACAAAGTAAACGCTGCCTGTCCGTTTGCATAGAGGAAAAGCCAAAATCATAAACAATACTCGTTTTCACTTTCATAAACTCATGGTGTTTGATCACGGTCCGTATGAAGAYAAGATATAGAATTAACCCGAACGTTGAAGTGTTTTTTTTATTGGTTCAGTTTTTAGAGCCTGATACTAGCTTCTGGCTGCCATCACTGGGACGAAAAAAAAGGAAAAGAAAACGTGCATGCTGGGACTCGAACCCATGGCAGAAAATTTGAAAAATATTGGGACGATTCCCCCGAGACATTCTGTGAAGCTGAGGCGTCGAATCGTTTTACATTCCGGTTAGAGATTTCGGCTCTTCCATGCTATCCCGATAATTGGTCCYAACTTCGCGCTWACTAAAAAGCCAGTGAGGGAGAAGCTATCCGGCCCCTAGACACTGATGGATAACCCCTTGCACTAACTAGGCAACTATCGAAADTAKAWTGTCAAATTGGGGTAGTCTATTCGGCGAAAGTGACAAGTGGTCTATTATTATGTAAATGAGCGTTRTCCAGTGGCGCATCTGGTTGAGACGCCGTTATTCAATCCAAAGACGAGATGGGATGAACAAGGATCGAATCCAGTTCCGGCATATTATTATGAATATATTTGTATTTGTATTAATCTTTCTTTTATTTCATTTCTTTTTTATCATTTTTTAAGATTTTTAAATATTTTTGTCTTGCTTTTTGCTCATTTCGCTCATTTTTCTTTTATATCAATTTCTTCATTTCTCTAAATATTATTAAATATTCGACGAAACTAACTCAAAAGTTGTTGGATTTCCTGTGTCTAAACTATGAGCCCGCGATAATGTTTTGTAATACCGCAATTCCTCTAAAACAAAATAACGAAAATTGCTAAAAGTGAAGTTGTTGATCTCTATTGGGCAAATTAGTCTTACTTTGTCACACAATGTCGTGAATACTTTGTTGGAAAGCCTTTGTACGAGTGTCTGCAACAGGAAAACTCCATTTTTGGTGACTATACATGTATAATTTCTTTGGATTTCTTTCGARGTCGATCATCGATCGTCAAGGACGCCAAAATGTCCCAGTGATCATGGTTGAATRAATTTTGAACCAAGATATCTCGAAAGCTATTTGTAGTATAACGCCATGGAACAAGGTAAATGTATTTACARTTGAAAATGTTATCCTATTTGTTATTACATGTAAAATAGATGTTGTGACGTTTGAACTTGCATTGGCGCCATTTTATTTTTATACCCAATAGCTTATAAGAATATGATAAAATTTTCTTTGAGCTTTACGGTTCATTTCGTTCGTATCTACTCTGTAAAAGATTTAAAATTTAAGTTGTAATTTTTAGTACAAAAACAAAGGAATTTACAATTTATAAAGCTTAATTTTACATTAAGTCTTAACTTATATACAAACTTCCTTTGAAAAATACGCTTTAAAATCTTTACAAACGTATAATAATAATAAGCTTAATTGATTCAAGTTATAGGCATTAATTCGCAAATTTCCTTATGATATCTTAGCTTTCTACTTTTCAGTAAAAAAACTTGTGATTGGCGTGCTTAGGCATGTAAAACCACATTAGTAACTTATGAAAGATATGTAAACCTTAATGTGAATAGACCTATCCATCATCTATACTATGAATAAAACATTGTTGTGTCTACATTTAGTTTATGAAGTGAGACATATTGACTTTAGGGAAGAAATTATTAGAAATACGCAGAGGGGTTGGGGGGATATTTTTGTGCAGGATTTTTTCACAAGAGAAAATCACAATTAATCATCTTCAGTCATTGTTTTTATTGTAAGATTGTTTTTCKGATTAATTTTATTAGTTTCTGTGGGATCTGCTAAGAAAAAGAAGCATCGCAGGGCCAAGTCTAACTTAGAGTCACAGGTACAGTATTAAAGCGCTATTAACCTGTTGCCATAGTGATACATATTGGTCTATCACAAATAWGCCTAATAGTCAACATCTTTAGTATTTATTTTTATTGAAATATTGGCATCATAAAATATGTATCATAATCATGTAAATTTGTATTTGTTGTAGATGAATGTATTTTTGATGATTAATTTATTTGAATTCATTTCAGGCTGCCATTTCAACTGATCACTGTAAGTAATGTGAAGGTCTACAATTTTCATGTTAGCAATGACACAAGCTGCAATTTTTACAACAATTTTATCACATGAGTCAACAGTCTGCACACTTGTGAAACAGTGATTCCACAAACAAATTGTTGCAAGTGAAAATTCCAGTGAATATTGCACTAAAAGTTTGATCAAGTTCAAAATTGCTTCAATTAAAACTTGGAAGATGTTGCTATGAAATTTCATMAATTCCAATTCATGCAAAAACTCATTGAACCAAAGCTCAGTGAGTAATGATAGACATTTTCATTGATCTATTGAAATTCAACTTTATCATGTTAGAAATCTTGTCTGCTTGTAAAGTGATTTCAGGTGATGAYGATGCTAAAGTTGTAAGAACAAGACATCAAAGCCCAGCAAGATTTGAGTCATTTCTGCAAGATGCAGTAGCTGAAAATAGGTAAAAAAGAAAATATTGATATCAAATAATTTGGCCTTCAAATAATTCAACTGTATTATTGCCAAGAATGTATTTATCTAGAACATGTCACATACCTATTAAACTAATAGTATTATAATAATTATATGATAAGAAGAGGGGTTGGGACATTGAGAATGGGTTATCAGAATAACCTTGTCAAATCTTTTTTCATTTTTTTTCTGAACAATCTACTAAATGCAAATCTACAATAAAAAGCATCAACAAGAATCCATTGATCCTCAACACCCTTGTCTCCTCAATTATTGATTAAATCTATATGTGCATTAAACCGTTTAGACTTCAGGACTCAGCGAGGAAGAAAAAGAAAAAGAAGAGAACACATACTGCTGATTCTGTGGTGAGGACTAGATTTATTGATTAAAAAAAAACAATCACCATAAAATTAACATAGATTTAGGCAGCTACAAGGAAATGACTTGATATAAATAGTGCACAAAATAATAATATAATTATTGTATAATTTCTCAAGTGAATCAATGTTAATAATGATTATTGTRCCATCACATGTCTGAAAGATTGGTTATACCCATAGTTTTAGTAGAGGGTAGAGACARTCTCCCTCTATTAACTATGTTTAAACTTAGCCTACTTCGCAGGCTACTCCAATGGAAACAGACWTTTTTCTCTTCTTGATCTTCCTGTGTTTATAAAAATCCTGACCAAGAAAAACTGGTGTAGAGAGATTGGGAACAACCCCCTCCCTCTCTGGTACATTTTTTTGCCTTAACACAGGAACCCCACTGAGTAGAGTTGCCTCTGAAGGAGGCTAGTTTAAACTAAGTTAGTTAAAATTTCATTTTTCTTCAGCTCGAAACAATCAAATCAGGTTCTCCAATTGCAAAAACAGCTTCAAAGTCRGAAGAAAATCTTATTGAAGCTAATCTCTATAAGGAAGGTAATGGTTTCTCTTTTGAGTAATATCAATATAGTGGACTGTCAAATGATTATCTCTGTCTGGAATTAAATTGGATTGTAATATTATCTGATTAAGAGTTATATCTAATATTTGAAGGGGCGGATTTGAAAACAACGTAAGTGACGATTAAATTTGTTTGCTTTACAAACTCAGGTTTTAGCGAGCCTAACCCTTAGCTAACGTTAACCCTACCCTACCCTAAACCCTAACCATTCTAACCCTAACCCTAAATCAAGGAATCCTAGCCCCTGTCTTAGGCTATAGGAACTCTTGCATAAGGCTGGAACTAACCCTATGCTAAAGTGTGAGGGGAGGGGAGGGTACAGTCCGTAACTAAATGTYGACTTTTTTCCRTTTTTTAAAAGGAAATCATGAGAAATAACTAGCAAACATGATTATTTAGACMAGAAACAAATGATTGAAGCAATGTTTTGTCAATTTTTCGAAAATTTCAAAAATACCCTAAATCGTCACTTACGTTGTTTTCAAATCTGCCCCTTCATTTGGTACAGATCTAGTACCTTCCTGTTTGTATAATGACAGTTTAACTTTACACTGAAGTCAACTTGGATGTTCTATTATCTGTCACAAGAGATTGTTTTAAATTATTAAATTCAGTGTAATTCACATTACTTCATGTAGATGATTCCATACCAGGAAAGGAGAGTAAAGAAAGCTACCAAACCCTTTTACAAGAGGAAGAATTACAGGAAAATGAAAGAACGCCAAGGAAATCCAAAACACGGACACCTAAATCTCAAGCAAGGTACTGTAATAAGATCAGGCAAAATAATAAAGTCTGCATATATCATCATAGGTTTCAACCTAACATGTGGGATCAAAATGTTTGCAATTGTATTACAGTGGGCA